AGACCAAAATAAAATGAATTGTTAACTTAAAAAAAACTACTGAGTTTTATGTTATCAAAGAAACTGTATTGAAGTACAAAAAACCTCTCAACATTTCAAACATTAGCATTTCTTGTTTTTGTAAGTAATCATTATAGAATTAGGCTATACAGATACAGAGATCGGTATTTTTAGTGATTACACATGAAATACGAAGAGGTTTATAATCTGTGAATTGATGTTAAGTCTTTTTTGCTGCTTAGTATACCTGTAGTCACCAGTACCTTTCTTTTAAAGAGTTCTTTTTTAAACATAGGCTTTGGTTTTAACATTGAAACGAAGTAGTAGTAATCTTTTTAATGTTTTCACAGATTGGAAGATCATCAGAATGTCCAATTGATTTTGTGGTGATGGATACAATTCCTGGTGATAAAGCTGGAGACTGTAAAGTTACACAAAGCACAATTTCAAGGTTCGCTTGCCGATTCCTTGTAGAACGAAATGGAACACACACAGCAAGTGTTTATGCTGCTGGCTTTGATTCTTCCAGGAACATATTTTTGGGGGTAAATGTGATCAAATGTTTCTGTTGTAAATTTAAGAATTGGTTCATGTGTATGGTTCACAGTTGTTTAAGAGCCTATTGGCACTTCTTATTTTAAGCTGTTGTAAATCGTAAGTTGTGTGTGAATGTACATTATTGTATTCTTTTTACTTTTGTACAGAATTTTTATTGAAGGTTTTGAGAGTTTAGCATAGTGAGCTACTCACTAACTATTGAATCATAAACAGATATATGAGAATTTCAGTTTCCAGTTTTATTGATATACTAGCCGGAGTACGAGTCCCCTGGACAGTAGTTATGTAAATTCATGATTAATGAGAGGTTGTCTTAAGACATGAAAAGTTGCTTCCCTTACTTGTAGTTGTAAAAAATGCCCATAAAAACTGCAAAACACAAAATGTGAAACTGTAAATTTGCATATATCTCCATATGGACCCATCAACAGAGGGCAAAGTAGTGGTAAAAAACATCCATAAAAACCACAAATGCAAAACTGAAAATTTGTATATACCCCTGCATTGACTTAATGAACATCCATACCAATTTTGATAAAGATCCATCCACATCCTGCGAAGTTACCTGGACATACCACAGATAGTACTACAATATTTATATAGATTAGTATAAATTGTGAAAACTTGGCCTGTAAACCTTTCTATTAATGGGTAATTACAGTATTTTATATTGTGATAAAGTTTACTGGCTTCAATCAACACGTTAAAAAAGTAAAACTTTACTTCCAGAAGCTTTGTAATTGTACATTTGTATATATATATGATCAATAAAACATACTAATTTCTTATTCCTGAAGGGGGAAAAATTGTAATATAACAACAATTGCATGCTTTTGATGAAATGTTAGTTAAAATCTATTAACAAAATAAAAAGAACTTGGATTGTTGCACACATGGAACAAACAAAACCAGGGAAAAAGCTAGAATGGGAACAGTGTAATAAATTTCGTCATGTTTTTAAAATCGTTGGGTACATTGTTTTTTAATTTCTTACGGTACATGGAAGGGTGTGAAGTACAGCAAAGAATAATTAAATCTTTTATTTCAACAGGAGAAGGCTACTAAATGGCAGCACAACGGTGAAATTGATGGGCTCACTACAAATGGAATCCTAATTTTACATCCACGTGGATCGTTCTGTGGCGGATCCTTGCCTGGCGTATGGAGAGAAATCTCAGTTGGAGGGGGAGTGTACGCTCTGCGAGAATCCCGCTCCACGCCACAGAAAGGGACAAAAGTGAGCTTACTTCTTTTCAAGATACTTATTGAGCACTTTGGTACTGAGTTTTTGCAAACACAAGGATCCCTGAAATACTCTGTTTAGAAATGTCTTATGTGATCAGTGCTTTAACCCTTTTGCTCAAGGTAGCCTTTACTGTGCATGACAGAAAGTTTTAGTATCTTACATAAAAAATTTTATTAAACTACTTTTTGTTTATGTTACACCAATTAGTATAGCATAAAATCATAGCTAATAATCCATATTTTAATAGTATATAACTTTAAGTTTCTAATTCTATGAGACAATATTAAAAAACATCCCGAATTTCCCCTAGTGTGAAACTCATGACTTATTTTCTCTAGGCATCTTGTCTTCTATATTTTATACACCACTCCTTGAAAAAATATATAATTAAATGTAAATTACTCTCTATAGAAGCGGCATTAAAACTAGCAGACATTTATACATGAAATAATAAGAAGGATGGTGACACAACCAATAACTTTCAGCAAAGAATGAAATAATAATGATAAATATATCTGAACATTTAAAAGATGCTTTAGAAAAGTATTTGTAATGTTAATATAAAGAACTAATTACATTCCTCAATAATTTTTTGATAATCCCTTGTAAAAAGATGGTAAGTTCAGAAGAGATTGGCATATTTTGTATACAGTCTTTAAAAAATAAAATTTGAAATTAGGTTATTAATAGTTCCCTGTAAACAAGATTGAATATGAAATAGATCAGACAATGGTAAAAAATAGATAAGTATAGAGATTTTGTTACCCAGTTTGTGAAGCAATAATTATTTTGTTTATCATTAAGCTTGTATTCTGGTCCAAGAGTTATGGGACCTTCCCCGTATTTGTCCCCGCTGCATAAAATTACAAGTTTAAAACTTTGTTTCAAGACAAGATGTAAGTTGAACATGTTTCAGTGTCTTCATATGGTTTGCTTTAAGTTTTTTTGATTTTTATATCTTGGATAGATTGAAGATGAAACTAATGAATTACAAGATGGAACGTTAATTGATCTTTGTGGAGCAACATTGTTATGGCGTTCTTCAGATGGATTAAATAACTCTCCTGTAAGTGTTGGTAAAAGTTGTAATATCCAATTATTAATTGGTCTTGTTGTAAAACTTTCTAAAATTTAGCCCTGTAAGTTCATCCTATTAAACGTTGCATAAGTGATCTTGTGAGAAGAATCGAACATTCACATTGACCCTTTGTACAAAATGAAATTTACGTAACAGTTACCCATTAGATCAATAGTATTTACATGACAGTTACTCATCAGTTGGATAATATTTACCTCATGGTTACTCATTGTACAGATATTTACATGATGGCTACTCATTAGGGTGCATCGAAAATATAAATTTCTTATATCATTATCGGCAGGGTATGCGATTGGTGCCTTTTAATGGTACTAATTATATGGGTAAGTTTCAGGCTTCTAAAATTATATCTTGTACTGCCGAGAAAGGGGACGTATTTTTCTTAAAATATCCATAATCAAAATATATATACGAAATCAAAGTACCAAAACTTGGGAGTTTTATATCCTAAATTACCCAGAACTCACCATGAGGAAGTAGTTACATGTCGAGTTCCACCCTTCCACTAGGCAATAGAATTACTGAATTATGTATTGTTTCTTAGTATTAAATTTTTTCATTATTTTGCAAGATTGAAGTTTTGCTTTCATGAATCCCTTTCTTCTGCAATAGCCACAAACAACTGCTGAAGCTTCTGTTACTAGTTTAAATGTGCCTTTCAACTGCTTGTGCGTGACACGGCATGCTGAACTTGAAAACTGGTGTGTCATCTTTATTAATGAAAGACAGCAACTGTTCATTGCTTATATTTTTTTGTAAGTGGTGGCTCTACTCTCAATCCACATTATTAGATCAGTGTAATGATGTATTAATTATTTGGAACCTCAAACTGTCTCTTTGTGCTAGAATTTGAGGTAGATCGACCAGCTAATATTCTATGAAGAGCAAGTTGTCTGATAGCCTTAGAATCATCTCCAAGCATTGCAAACAGCAAAATATGTATTTCTCCAGATTACTCTATCCACCAGATATTTCTATGATTCAGGAAAAAAACATGATTTTCTTATAAGTAGAAAGAGGTGCAGTAGGCTATGGCTGCATGAAGGATTTTTCTTGATATTAAATCAAACTGTTGCATACATTTCAATTACATGTCTTACATGTTGTTAACCAGCAAGAATGGTTCATTGTACCAGGGTCACGTAAAGCAAGTTCTCTTGAACTATGACCTGATACTACTGCATTGCACAAGTCGTACAAATATTTTTGATCGTACTAAGATCCTCGGGATGGTCAGCTTTCGGTAATGGCTCTATGATTTTTTTTTCAACTGAAACAAAGTTTACTGAAGGCAGTGATTCACAAGCCTTCAGTCTCTTTCCAAGAGGACCAGAAAAAGTGGATGGTCCTAGAGTTACTCCATCAAGATGTGGAATTAGATGATGCAGGGGTAACTCATTGGCATGTAGCAAACAAATTAACCAATGAACAGGTCTTTCTAAGTGCAATTCAAGAAGCCTCATAACTCCAGTTTTATTTCCAGTATACATATGTGCCATCACAGCCTACAGTGACTAAATGATCAGATGAAATTTTATCTTCAAACCACTAAATGATAGAAATTTTTATACCATCTGATGTTCCGGAAGAAGGAGAAATATGATCCATGAAAATTGATTCAGGTTCACTTACCAAAGATACGTTCCATGACTACTCGTTTATAATGTTTTTGTCTGTTTTTAATGATGACAGTATTAGTTATTTTTTCTACCATCAAAGTAGATAGATTTAATACAATTTAATTCATCAAAAGTCAGTAATGTTTCTCAGTATTTTTCTCATTCCCGTCGTATCTTGTTTTTATTGACAATTTTAGCATTGTCATTTTCTTGAATAATGACCATATCTTCCAAGACAGCTGAGGTAAGGGCTGCAGCAGCTCTAGCTGTAATACAGTACCTGTCAGCTTCTCTCACTACTGTTGGAAGGGGATTTTGGTGTAGAAAGTGCAGTATTAACAAAATAATCCAAATAAATCATTGATTAGCTATTTCAGTTGGTGGAGAGATGATACACTTTTTTTCAACTTTGGTTCACTTGCAGCAGTTGAAGGTATAATTGGAGGAGTTTCATACTGCATAATATTAATTCCTATAATAAAAGGCAACCATTGCACATCCTGCTGACTAGCAATTACAAAATAAAATTTTCAACTAAGTAAATTTGATGCACTCATGGTACAGATATTTACATGATCATTACCTATCATACAGTTAAAATTTACATGATGGTTACTCATGGTACAGATATTTACATGACGATTACCCATCATATAGTTAAAATTTACCTGACAGTTACCCATCAGTATGATAATATTTACATGATTACCCACCATACAGTTAAAATTTACATGATGGTTACTCATGGTGCAGATATTTACATGATGATTACCTATCATACAGTTAAAATTTGCTTGACAGTTACCCATCAGTATGATAATATTTACATGATGGTTACTCATGGTACAAATATTTACATGATGATTACCCACCATACAGTTAAAATTTACATGACAGTTACCCATCAGCATGATAATATTTACATGATGGTTACTCATGGTACAGATATTTACATGATGATTACCTATCATACAGTTAAAATTTATGTGACAGTTACCCATCAGTTGGATAATATTTACATGATGGTTATTCATGGTACAGATATTTACATGATGATTATCTATCATACAGTTAAAACAATCATGACAGTTACCCATCAGTAGGGTAATATTTACATGATGGTTATCCATGGTACAAATATTTACATGATGATTACCAACCATACAGTTAAAATTTACATGACAGTTACCCATCAGTAGGGTAATATTTACACAATAGTTACTCACGGTACAAATATTTACATGATGATTGCCCATCATACAGTTAAAAGTTACATGAGTTGCCAGATAGTAATTACATGATGGTTACTTATCATACAAATGGTGTTACGGTTGTTTTGGGGGAGCGATATGTTCATGTTGTTTTTGTTTTTAAACTGGTAATTTGTGTAATGTTATTAAACTTATTTTCTTATCTATATTAAAAGGTCATTTAATATAATTAGATACAGTTATTCCTCCAAATTAAGTTACTGTATTAACTTCAGACTTAATGAATGATCATTGTCTAGATTAATGTGTTTTTCTTGTAACTTTTCATATCTGTGATGCTTATAACTGCAGTATGAGCTTCTAATTAATTACAGAGCTCTACATTTCTAAAAGTATGTTTCAAGTAAGTTATTCAGCAGAGAAAACGTGCTATGATAGTAATTTATATATATTACCTTTTTTTTTATGTGAAAATGTAGTGTGTAGTACACTTACTGTTTTAGTCATAAGTGCAAGGGAGATATGAGTATTGTTTTGTTATGTTGTGTTTGACTGTAGACTAGAAAACATCTGGAGGAAATGATTGATGAGCTTAATGCTGGTAGACCTCAGTGTCCAGTAGGGTTAAACACACTGGTCATTCCTCGCAAATCCACCATATCATATAATGAGAAACAGCCGTACGTGTACCTGATATGTGGCCACGTACAAGGGCTTCATGACTGGGGGCAGGACAAGAACTCTGATGGCAGAACTTGTCCAATGTGTTTAAAAGTAAGTCCTTAGTTTTCAAAAGAAAGTAAGAACCACATAAAGTTTGTAATCATAAAATTTGTGACTTAAGTATTAAAACTGGTTACAAAAGTGAAATGAGTATATTTTAAACATTCGTAAAGAAAATATATTTTGTTCGTATAGCACATATTTTTTAAAGTTTTATTGATATTGTTAAATATAACAATAAAGTAAAAGAAATATTGTAGATGGATACTGTTAAGTATTTCTGTAAATTAATTTTACAATTATTTAACAGCGTCAGCAAGTTGTTGTTCATCTAAACTTACGTAACAGTTGTTCTCAAGAACAGTAATTTACAGAAATTATTAAAAACTTGTGACCATCACTAAAATATAGAGCATAAGTAGAATAATTTTCTAACACTGATCAGCTTAGGTGATAGTTTGATTGAATGTTCTAATTCAAACTCCGTTGAGTGTGTGTCATGTAATAAGCAATAAGACCCCTTCTATATTTCTTGCAAATAATGTATTTATTGATCAAGTTACAAAACTGGAGACGAAGGTTTAAAAAAACAAACATTGTTAGCTATCATTTCTTTAGAGTTTGACTTATTCTGTCACATAAATTGCATCACTAGTACCGTATTTTATTATAGATTTGTTTATTTCAGTGTATTTCGATGAATCTAACGTTATTTATCCATTTACCACTAGTGTTGTGTATATATTTGCATGTGTGTGTGTATATTCACCTTGAATGTTTCTACTATTACACTCAATCTCTAGGTTGGACCTATTGTTAAACTTTGTATGGGTATTGAACCTGCCTTCTATGTGGACAGTGGTCCTCCAACATTTGCCTTTAATCCATGTGGACATATGGCATCAGAACAAACTGTTAAGTAAGGAGAAAACGTTTATATTCACTTATTTCCAAACTTTATTCTAGGTTTTTTTATCATGAAATGACAATGTTCTATTGGTTCCGATTCAAATAATCTGATTATAAAAAAAAAACTTCTGAACATTGAAGATAAGGAGGGTTCAATATTACAAATATATACAACAGTAAATAGTTGCACAATAAATATAAGAGTTGTTAAAAATGGCACAGTTGTATTGTACACCACCATCATCGGGAGTAATAGTTAAAGAAGGATAGTTACTTATATAGTTACATCGCTTCTAATTTACGTAATGTTGCATTACACTTTCAATATTATCTTGACTTTGAACACAACTGAAAAGCTTACAAAACAGATTTCCAGTACTTCATTTCCTTAACACCTGGACCATCATCTTTATTCAAAATAATTTTTTTTTCCAGTTTCTACTGATTCTGTAATATTTAGTTCCCACTTAAACTCAGCCTGATGCATTAGTTTAACGTTTTTTCCAATCTATAAAGTGAGATGTGCCTGTCACATATTCTGTTAAAACAAATTCGTTCACTATATAAATGTGGAATTTACATAATTCCTTATGTCTGTGGTCAAGTTTATATTGGCCAAACATTTAGATATCTAAAATTAAGAATTAGAAAAATATATTGTGAAATATATAAAATAACACTAAGGAAATTATGTAAATTGTAGGTAATTTAGCTCTGTAAGTCAGTTCTATCTTTAATTATTACTCATGATGATCGTGGTCTAGAGTGCCTCTGAAACATGTCTCATTTTAGGACTTTGCCCTGTTTATAGTAAATCTTTTTTACAGTACAACTATTTAATGTGTTACTTTTAAGTTTTAATATTATATGTATGGAGAAGTTATGTTTAATTTACTTAAGGAAAGCTCCTTTATGAACAATCAGTATTTATTCAAATCTTTCATAAGTTATCCAAAATAATTTTTACACTGTAAGTATCTAATTCAATTACCTTATTAACAACCCTCACCATGAAGGTAGGTCAATGTGTGCATGTCATGATTTTTTAGAGGTAATTCAAACTTTCGTTAACTCTTTTAGCACGGGCTCAGTCCCTGGAATAGACCTCGTAACCATTTTGTGCTTGTTATGGTTTTCATGCTATAACTTTTAAATTAGTAAGCAAATGTTAATGAAATTTGGCAGATTATCAGTAAACATTACAATGCTTTCATACACCAAATATCAATTATTTTTTATTAAGTCTTAAGTTTTCTAAAGCAATGTTTTCTCGTGTC